TTCTCTCATTCTAAAGACCTACATTCATACTGAACTTTGTATTTAGAGTTTGCATTATTTTTTAAAGGACACCACAAACTCCGTAAGTCTTAGCCACCTTGAAGCTGGGGTGTTCCCCAGTTAGGAGGGTGTAAAGGTTTAGAAGGCTGGACTGGACTTGTTTGCTAAGGATGATCTTTGCCAGTGAACAGGGCCCGAGAGCAGCTCTGGTGAGGTTCTGCCTCCCGCCCAGCCTGCCCCCTCCAGCCCTCGTGTGGTGTCTCCATCTTCTTGGTCTGCTGAGGTCGCTCGGCTGTCCTCTGGGAGACTGGAGAGAACGAGGCTGGGAAGATGCTAGACAGATGGTCCTAAGGCCTTAAAACCTTTCTCCATCTTCTGCCTGATATCCCTTTCTGCCCCTGTGACTTGTTTTCTTCTACCATCTCGAACTGCCCTCCCTCCTATTTGCAGCAGGCTTCCCTGGCGGCTCAGACTGTAGAGAAGCTGCCTGCAATGCAGGAGACCCAGGTTTGATCCCTGGGTCGGGAAGATCTCCTGGAGGAGAGAATGGCTCCCCACTCCAGTATTCTTGGGCTTCCCTGGGGGCTCAGCTGGTAAAGAATCCGCCTGCAGTGTGGGAGGCCTGGGTTTGATCCCTGGGTTGGGAAGATCCCCTGGAAGAGGGCATGGCAACCCACTGCAGTATTCTTGCCTGGAGAATCCCCATGGACAGAGGAGCCTGGTGGGCTACAGTCCATGGGGTCCCAAAGAGTTGGACACGCCTGAGTGACTAACACTACTTGCAATACATCACACAGTCCAGACCGAAGCAACTAAAGTGCCACACTGTTTCCGACCCGGACAATAAGACTAACTGGGGCAGAGAGGATGGTCCCTGGGCTCTTGAGGACCATGTCCCCTCCTCCCGGTGTCCCAGCAAGTGGCTGAGAACAGAATCCGATTCTTTTCCTTCAGCATCCAAGTCCTTAGGTCATCCATCACACGCCAGTGGCCAGGACCCCACCCCTCCTCCCTCCATCCACACACCCTCTGTTGTTGCTTTTGTTCCCTTTCTAGGCTCCTCTCCCAGGAAGCCCTACTTGTGTCAGTGTGTTGGCTGGGAGGCTGGGATGAGCCCTGAGCAAGCCAGCACTTGGATGGCCACCAAGCAATAGTGGCCCACTGCCCAGGACTGCAGCAGGAGCCCCACCCAGTCTGCCCCTGGGGCCACCCCTCCTTCGGGTGGCCCGACAGACCCCACACAGATGACGAAGAGAGCCCGTGGACCACCACCAAGACTCTATTCCAGATAGCAGCCTCACATGAGTCCAGCTCACAAGACAACGTGGAGGAACCTCAAAAGTGTCGTCAGGCTCTGGGAAAAACGTTGGACCCTTAAGCCATGTGTTATGATTCCATGGATAAGAAGCGTCCAGAACAGGCGGATCCACAGAGGCAGGCGGAGATGAGCGGTGGTGGGGACAGCGGGGGAAAGTGGGGCAATGCTCACAGTGCCAGGGTTTCTTTTCCGAGGGATGACTGTGTCCTCAGCTTGCTCGTGGTGATGGCCGCACAGCTGTGAGTATTCTAAAACCACTGGATTGAACATTTAAATGCAGAAAATGGATGGTATGCAGATTACATCTCAACAGAGCTGCTTTAAAAAAAAATCAAGGCAGCCTTGGCTCAAATGAGACTCGGAGTGGAGTGACAAAAACCAGCAGATAAAGACCCCTGGGCACCCAGAGCTCAGCCTTCAATGGGCGGGAGCGGCCAGAGCAAAGGGTCGCTCCCTCTGCAAAGCCAGTGCTCCAGGGCCGGCCAGTGACCTTGGGTCCTAGAGGAGAGACCTCTCTTCCACTGTTCCCTGCGCTGTGTTGCCAGCACCTCCAGCCTGCCTGGACTCCATTCCTAGAGAAGGAACCCACCTGAGAAGGTATGGGTGTTCCAGCCAAGGGGCAGACGGTCAGGGGCTTCGAGGCTGAGTAAGTTGAGGTTTCCGGGACACACAAGGACTCTGGGCTCTGGGACACGGCATCCTGTCACCCACTGCGTGCAGCCGGCTTGGCCAGGAGTCGGGAGGACAGAGGAGAGGCTGGGGTGGGGGGGGACTCACTCTCCCCCTCCCTGCTCCATCACACGGCCTCAACAGGGCTGCAGGAGCCCCACACCCTCCCCTGCCCTGATTCTACATTCAGGGTGCAGGGGCCGTGGTTTCCCAATGTGTCTGGACCCTGAGCGCTCTCAGCCCTGCTGCCTGGGAGGCTGTCCTCTGGGAGGGATTGCACAAACGGGGGAGCGACCAGGGCCAAATGCTGGCTGTCACCATTGTGGTGGGGACCAGGCAGTGTGTAATCTCCAGCCTCACCTCTGGGCTGTCCTCCCGGCATGAGGGACCCCAGGGGCAGGCATGCGTGGGTACCCACGCAGCTTCCTGTCCTAGGGCCTCGATCAGGGCCAGTCCACAGGGAAGGGGGTGCACAGATGAACAGACGAGAGGGGTGTGTCTGTTGACTGTTGCTGAAGATGGGAGCGGGGCGGGTAGGCGGGGGCGAGGCCAGGCCCCGCTGCGTGGACCGTGGCCGTGGTCCTCCGCGCTGAGTCTGCAGGTGTGGCCTAGAGCAGGGCCGACTGTCCCTCCTGCGTCACCACAAACGGTTGAGCAAATAAAGTTGCCAGGCCCTTGTAAGCCTGGGCCTTGAAAAGACCTCCAAAAACAAGCGGCTTTCACTCCCACGGGCCTTTGAAATCGTCACCGCTTTGTGCAAACAGCCTTTGAAGCCACTGCTGTACCTGGCTTGTCTGTAAATTAGCTGTTGTTTTGGTTTCTCCGGTGCTCTGACCGGGAAGGCTCCCCTGACAAAGCAGGAGCGGCTTTCAATGCGCCCCCCTTTAAACGGGCCCTGCGCAAACCAAACAGCGGCGGCGCTGGGCGCTGGCTCCCTCCGCACCGGGACTCCATTGTGTCTCTGAAACGCAGCGACTTCTTTGGAACGTCTCACACTTCCAAACTGCAAGAAAAACAAACTCTGCCCACCAGAAGGCCTGGGTCCAGGCCCGGTTGTCCCACAAAGCGCTTATGAGTTAATTACCTGTACCTTCCAGAGGGCCCTTTTGTCATCCTGAGTTGCACGCGACCCCGATTTAGGGCAAAATGGAGAATTCAATTTTCTGATGAGTCACCCTCCTGGTCTTTTCCTCCGTGCGGTTTTCTAAGTGACGCCTTTTTTTTTTTTTTCTTGGTGGGGGGGGGCACCCCAAAGACAGGTTTATGGGGCCCTCGGCCGGGCCAGGTGCGCTTGGACTTGGCTGACTGCCCCAGCCTGTCCGTCTTGATGGCGCGGGGGTGGAGGAGCCCATGGCCTCGGGGGTGCTGGGGGGTGCGTGGTGCCTGGTGGCCGTGCCCACGAACGCCCGAGGCTCGAGGCTGGAGCAGGAGGAAGCCCTTCCTGGACTCTGGCAGTTGGAGGGACAAGGATTGAGGACTCCTGCGGGGCGACGACTGGAAGACCCAGGTCACCCCCGCAGGTGAGGTGTTTGGAGAAACAAGGCTGGAGAGCGGGGCTTTGATAGACTCTGACTCTTTGAGCAGAGTTATTTCTTTTGTACTCTGTCACTTAGCGGAAGCCTGCGGAAGGGGATCCCTGCCATTTAATTATTTATATTGCTTCTCCCTGGTGGCTGAGATGGTAAAGAATCTTCCTGTAATGCAGGAGACCTGGGTTCAGTCCCAGGGTTGGGAAGTTCTCCTGGAGAAGGAAATGGCAATCCACTCTAGTATTCTTGCCTGGAGAAGCCCATGGACAGAGGAGCCTGGTGAGCTAACATCCATGGGGTCGCAAAGAGTCAGACACGATTGAGCAACTCATACTATGCTACTAGTACTATTGCTTTTCCTAAGAGTCGATCCCTGAGGCCAGCAAGCCTATGGGCGTCCCTGGTGTGTCCAGCGCCCCTCCAGATGCTTGGGGACATCCTGGGATAGAGCAGGACAGTGTCCCTCAGAGCATCAGCATTGTACTGAGCCCAGACCCGCAGTTAAATTACACAAGACTGTAGATGACAAGAGCCTAGACAGACTGGGTGGACACAGGCCATCAGAACGCCGTGGGGGAGGGGCTGCTGGTCTGAGAGGTCAGTGTGGGGCTGTGACCCCTGACCCTAGGGACCGCAGTGACACGTCCCAGGCCAAGGAGTCCTGAGGAGGCCCGTGGATGAGGAGGTGAGGATTATGGGAAGTAGGTCAAGTTTCTCTGTCCTCTGGAGACCTCGGGGCCCCTCCATGGCCTGTGGGCATGGCCTCCACCAAACCTCAAAGGAAACTCTGTTCACAGCCAGGTGAAGATAGCTGTTAGTAGATTTCAAAGTGAGCTATCCACCATCTCCTCCTCCAAAGGTGTTGGCACGGTAATAGGACAGAAGCCTTGGAATGGAGCCTTGAGCCCCAAGATAGGGTTTCTGAGACCCCATGCTGGCTGAGGAGGCGGCTCAGGCATCGGCCGGAGGGATTTCCTTGGTGCCAAAAGTTGCCTCATGCGGGCTGTTGCCTCCTTGTCTACCACCAAGACCAACCCTGAAGGGAAAACAACAACGAATATCTGTTCTAGAAGTTGTCTTTGGCAAAACTCCACTCGCCCTTATGACTGGCATCCACTAACTGCAGTGTCACCTTTACTGTCCCTGGCTGGCTGTCGTTGTCATTAGAAGTACTGCTGTGCTGTCTTCCCAGGATGAGCCAGGAAAGTTCCAGCTTGGAGGGAAATTTGGGAGTGGCCTCTGGTCCCGGCCCCACTTTGTAGATAAGGAAACTGAGGCCAGAGGAGGACTAGAGGCCTTGCGGCCTTGGATGTGGCAGGAAAAGGACTAGGGTCTTCGGATTCCTCATCCAGTTCTCTTTTTATGATAGCAGTTTTAATTCGGGGACATTTTCGGTTTCTAGTGGGAGGAATGTACAACTTCTTCATCCTGAGAGCCACTCTGGATTTTTCACTGGGAGAAATATAAGGAAAAATCAGGACATTTCAGAGCTTGAGAGACCCCAGGACTGACGTGGGCTCTGGGTGTTCTACTGGTACAGCCGTGCCGTCACCTTGCTGGTGGGGGAGCCGGGGCACGGAGAACATCAGCGTGGCGAGGGTCTGCGGGCTGCTTATCAGAAGACTGAGTTGGAAACGGAGCACCTCCATCACCCACTTCTGTGCAGCCTCCCGCCGGTTCCACACCGCCTTTCAGGAAACCAAGGGCGTCGGCCATCATGATGGGCCGCGGGGAAGGCTGGGACGCTGCGTCTCGCTTTGTTGTGTATTTTGTGGGCTCGTCTCTCCCCAGTGAGTAGGAAGAAAGGCAAGATGCCGGTGCCTCCGAACATCACTTAATAGATGCTTGAGAGGCTCTGGTCTTAGCACAAAGCCGGGCTCCTCGGCAGACAACCACAAGAAAGAGGTGGCAGGCACCGCGCTGCCCTTAATTCTGGAGCAAACACAATGGTATTTTTTTAAGGATAATGTTGGGGTAGAGAATGAGACTGCTAATTTCTTTTGGGAGACACGGGAGGAAAAGAAGAATAGAGAAGAATTTATTTTGGCAACAGTTCTTGATCTTCTTTTTACAAAGAAAGTTAAAGCCGTAATTCCCCCAGGTGCAAATGCTGTCGCCTGGAAAAAAAAAAAAACCTTCCTTAAAATATATTGAGTCAGAGAGAAAGATAAGCAAAGAGGAAATGGACCTGTGGCTGGATCTAATGGCTTTTGGGTTTTAGCTTTTTAATGAGATCTGAAAATAGGATGGTTTTAAGGAAACATTTCAATTTCAAAAATCTAAACATTGTGTGAATGTGGAAGACGTGGGCAGTAAGTCATCTTTCTGAAAGCGAACTTGACATGGGACCAGTCTTTTCATTTTAGTGCAGGGAAGGAGTCCCGGGGGGGAGGCTGGGGGGTGGACAGAGGCCTGGGCTCTGGTCTCAGCTGCTTCCTCCTGCTCTAGGTTGGAGGGCATCCTATCCTAAATTACATTAGGCTACCTGCAGATGAGAATTGGACTATAAAGAAAGCTGAGCACTGAAGAATTGATGCTTTTGAACTGTATTGTTGGAGAAGACTCTTGAGAGTCCCTTGGACTGCAAGGAGATCCAACCAGTCCATCCTAAAGGAAATCAGTCCTGAATATTCATTAGAAGGACTGATGGTGAAGCTGAAACTCCAATACTTTGGCCACCTGATGCAAAGAACTGACTCATTTGAAAATACCCTGATTCTGGGAAAGATTGAAGGTGGGAGGAAAAGGGGACGACAGAGGATGAGATGGTTGGATGGCATCACTGACTTCGATGGACATAAGTTTGAGTAAGCTCTGGGAGTCGGTGAAGAACAGGGAAGCCTGGCATGCTGCAGTCCATGGGGCTGTGAAGAGTTAGACACGACTGAGCGACTGAACAGAACCTACGTGCTAGCTGGTAAACGATGATGCTGGGGATTGTTCCCTGGTGATGTGGAGGATTCTGAGGTGTCCTGCCTTCAGGCACACCTCTGAGAATGGATGCTGGACCCAGGTGCTCATAACCCCGTCCTTCCTTTGGGCCCACCACTGTTAGCCCCCGTCACTTATGAGCTGGAAGGTGGAGTGAGGCTTCCTTGTCAGGGTGCCACTCCTGTGATGAACTTGACCTGCTTCGGATGTAGCAAGCGGTGGCCTTGGCTAATTGCTGAGACCCCCTGGTGCCAGCTCCAGCCAAGGCCACGTGCACCTGCCTTGACTGTGCTCTCTGCCCTCATCCAGGAGGGTTGCCCGCAAGGTGGGCTCTTCCCAAAGGCATTGTGGAACTGGCCTGAGTCCTCGAATTCTGCACAGAATTCCGAACAGCAGGAGACACTGACCTACGTCATCCCAGCAGGCGTACCGCGCCCCCAGCCCGTCTCATACCTCTGACTTACAGAACTCGGGTCTCCCCAAGGCCTCTGCTGAACCCTTGACCTGAGTCCGAAGGCTCAGGAGATTGGTCGGTGCGCCGCTGGCCCCCCCCCTTCCAAGCCCCCCGTTCTTTCACCTGCACCTGAGGATGGGCTCCAGCGGCCTCAGCACTTGTCACAGGATGAGACAGGCTATGGCTGGCCAAGGCTCGGGCCACCTTGGATCGCGTTTTTGGTGATTCAGCAACCAAGAAATGAGGCGTCCAGAGCTGGCACCCCGTCTGCCAAATGCATTTTGGAGAATTTCAGAGAATTTTAATTTCAGATGCTGAGCTAGGACTTCCGGCTAAAGAACAGCCATGTCTTATTTTAGACAAATAAACCAGAACCGATAATGATGAAAACTCAGGGTGCTGGACATCTAGGGGTTGAGTTCTCTGTTCCGGCTGCTTTCTGCTGCGGATGGAGAGTTTCTTTATCCACTGTTAGAAAATGCTGAGCCCATTGAGTAGAAATGTTTCTTCTGTAAGTTTAGAAGCCAGATGACCAGCTGCTGACACCGGCATGGACAGTCACAGGAAGTCAGGGCATCATCTGAGCGTAAGAGGTGACGGCATCATGGACGGCAGCGGGGGACCCTCTCCAGGCTCAGGGAGCTCCCTCCCCATCACGGCGCCGGCCAGAACCCCAGTGGCTGAAGCCTGTGCTTCCTTCTTCCTAAATCCTTCACTCGCCCACTGTGTGCTCTTCTTCCTGTCCTTGGAGTGTCGCTCCAGCTGATTCACACACCTCTTCCCTTCCACCACCTCCCCTACCCGCCAGACAGCTGCTGGCCGGACCTTCCCACTGAAACTGGAGAATGTTTCAGGGGGTAACACCAGCTCTGGAGTTTGGGGACTAGGGCCCCAAGCCTTCGCCTGTCTGTCCACAGCTCACCCTCTTTCTAGGACCTGCTTTTTCAAGTAGTCCTGTACTTCCAGTAGTCGTTTATGGATGTGAGAGTTGGATCATAAAGAAAGCTGAGTGCCGAAGAATTGATGCTTTCAAATTGTGGTGCTAGAGAAGACTCTTCAGAGTCCCTTGGACTGCAAGAACATCAAAGCAATCAATCCTAAAGGAAATCAACCCTGAATATTCATTGGAAGGACTGATGTTGAAGCTGAAGCTCCAATACTTTGGCCACCTGATTCGAAGAACTGACTCATTAGAAAAGACCCTGATGCTGGGAAAGATTGAAGGCAGGAGGAGAAGGGGGCAACAGAGGACAGTTAGATAGCATCACTGACTCAATGGACAGGAATCTGAGCAAATTTGGGGAGATAGTGGAGGACAGAGGAGCTTGGCGTGCTGCAGCCCACGGAGTCATGAAGAGTTGGACATGACTCAGCGACTGAACAGCAGAAGGCCGTGCTTTCCCTCTGATCCCCTGTGGGGCGTTCCCGCTCTTCTTATACTCAGCGCAGGGGTTAACACTCCATCTTGCTCCCTGCGACACCCCCGGCGGGCCTCCACGCCGCACATCAGGTTGCCTTTGTTAGCAAACCTCTTCCACTCGCTCACGCACCCCACAGGTCTCTCAGCGGACCACAGGCTTCTGGAAGGAGACTTGTCCATCAGCGTCTTAGAACCGAGCCCCTCGTGTGTACCGAGCCCAGTGACGGGTACTGGCCGCGGAGAGGTGAACTGGGAGGCGGGTGGTCACGTTCCCTGATGCCCGCACAGGACTGAGTTGCTCTGGTCACGGAAACAGGGGCAGAAGGGTGCGTGTCAGTTTCTGGCCGGGGATGTGGAGGCCCGCGAACATCCCCTGCCGTTCTCCTCTGTCCTGGTGAGAGTGGGTCCACAGATTGGGGGAGCCGTATCGCCACGGGGAACCCAGACCGGGTGAGAAAGGAGCCCCCTAGGGACCGAGGCCGTGCGGCAGGACATGTGTCCCCGATCGTCCCAGTCAGAGGACAGATGAGAAGCAGGAACAGGACAGAACAAGAGAATTTCAGGTAAGTCTGCAGAGGACTGAAGCTGGGTGACAGAGAGAAGCGAGGGGCTTCCTCAGCCGGTGTGGCCGGAGGCGCGGCGCACTTGACCTTGGAGGGGTGCGGGCGGAGCGCCCTGAATGGTGACAGGAAGCTTCGGTGCTAAAATCTGGGGCAGGAGCAGGACAGCTGGGGAAGAGCGCACGCAAATGCCAAAGGAAGGAACAGCGGCAGAGCGCTGAAACTCCGAAGACACCCCGCGTAACTGGGTCATGGGGGAGAGGGGAGCACAGGGCGGATGGAATTGGAAAGGAAGTGAGGGCTGAGCCACGGGGGATTTTGTTCCTGGTCTAAGGAATTTAGACCTCATTCTGTCCTTTTGTGGCATGAAAGATGTTAGTTCCCTGACCAGGGATCGAACTCGTGCCCCCTACAGTGGGAGCATGGAGTACTAACCACTGGACTGCCAGAGAACTGCCTTCAGATGGTTTAACCTCACTGATCTTCTTATTGTTTGATATTTATTGTTGTGTATGTCTAATTTTGTATTTTTTTTAACTTCTACATAGAGGCTTCCCTGATACCTCATTTGGTAAAGAATCCACCTGCAATGCAGGAGACCCCAGTTTGATTCCTGGGTCGGGAAGGTCCGCTGGACAATGGGTAGGCTACCCACTCCAGTATTCTTGGACTTTTCTGTGGCTCAGCTGATAAAGAATCCGCCTGCAATGCGGGAGCCCTGGGTTCGCTCTCTGGGTTGGGAAGATCTCCTGAAGAAGGGAAAGGCTACCCACTCCAGGATTCTGGCATGGAGAATTCCATGGACTATATCGTCCATGGGGTCGCAAAGAGTCAGACACGACTGAGCGACCTTTACTCACTCCATCCTTTTGACTCTCTGAGGCTTAGTCTAGCTCATGGTACCTAAGTGATGCCCACATTGTTGGGGTTCCTCAGCTGCCTTGACTCTCAGGTGTCCTTTGATTTGGGGTCACGCCCTTGATAGAGGAGACCGTCAGGGTCTGGGGTGCCTGGGGTGGTAGAGCACAGAGGGCAGGATGCCATGGGGAACAGTCGCTGAAACTACCTGGTAAAGCAAAGGGAGGTGAGTGACCAAGTGGCCAGCGTGCCAGGTCTGGCAGAGGAGCTGCATCTTGGTAGGAAGATGCTCGGCAAACACAGGAGCAAGAATGGGCACCGGGGCAGCAGTCAGCTCCAGGAGGGGCCCTTCCTCGGACTATGGGGCTCAGAAGCTGTGTGGCTTGGGACGCCTGGCCCCCTTCTGTGTTAATAGGAGTGGGCGTCCTCCAGCAGAGTGACCCGGAGAAGCCAGGTGGTGGCTCC